TTCGATTATTTAATGTTACTTTAAGAAAGGCTATACTGGCAACCTTGTATAGCAACGAAAAATGAGCCGAGCCGGTTTTACGGAAAAATCAAAACTTCGTTGGTTTCTGCGACACAAACGTCAGCAACGCTATGGTAAATCGGTGACAACTTTGTGTTTACATGGCGCTCTCATAAGATAGGTTACTATGGACGGCTGGTACGCTCGTTGGGTAGTTGCAGCCTTAGTTACTCTTAAAAGGCAGTAGCAGTAATAAGGTAGTGTAGAGCTGTCCCAAAAAAGCGTTTTTCAGCAATTTTTTGTGAAATTTACTTTATTGCTTAAAAACCATTTTTACAAACGGTACCCAATCGCACCTAATCACTTCAATTCTTTTCGATTCTACATACATATTTATATATCTCTATCCACTATATTATTGTCGCTCTAACAAATGTTTAAAGAAACCGATTTTATAATTAAATTAAAGCTTAATAGTAATAAATCGAAGCAATTAAAATATTTATGTATTCGTGGAAAAAGTTTCTTCTAGGAAGATTTTTGTTGAGATTTTTCTTCTGTTTAAAAATACTTCTTTTCAATTTTAAATTGTTTTATTCAAAGTTTCGGTAAACTTTGTTATTATAAAAATGTAAGAGAAAATCATTTCTTTTTTAATAACCCTAATCACAGAACGTAATGCCGTTTTTGCACATTTTTTACTTTATTTATTTTATTAAATACTTTCACCGACAAATCATCATCAACTGCACAAGATTTTTGAAACAATAATAATAAAAAGGTCATAGAAACCTCCAAATCTAAGCATGTTGCGGTTTACTAAAATCCTTGAGGCACATGGTAATCTTGAAAGACGTATCACATTCATTGGCGCCCTTCTCGTTCTTGCAATCATTCAACGCTTGCTTGATTTCAGCTTCATGTCCTTTCATGCTGGGATTTTGCATGAGTTCTTTCATCTTGGCATCGGCATCGAAGACACCATCTTTGAATATGCCCATCTTTTGCATCATACATTTGTTATGACATTTTATATTCTCAGTTGCATCGCTGGCTCTCATGCCATTTTGAAAAAACTGTTTTAGCTCATCGTCCGAGACTTTGGATTCATCCAAGCAAGCGCGATGATACTTCTCAACATCCGCAGGTAATTGAGACTATGAAGGAGATTTTAATTATCATCATTTTTTGCAAATATTTTTTTTTTAATATTTTGTTTTTAACTCACCACTGCTACTGAGGCTAGCGCAGCCATTATTGTTAAAAGGTATATTTTTTGCATTGTAACTGTTAAAGGATGCTGCTAGGCACATACACTTGGTGTTCAAATGAGCTCAGAAATGCTACTGATTTGCATATGGAAATATTTCGGATTTATACTGATTATTTTTGCTTTTTTTGTTAAATTAAATTGATTGTCAAATTCATGGTCTGCTTATTGCAATTCATTTTAATTTATATATATATGTGTGTATGCATGTATAGTGTATGTATATTTGGAAGTATTTATACACATTTTAATTTCCATAATTTTCACAACAATTTCGCAGTAATTACTGTGCTTACTAAACTTTTTCCATATGCCTTTTTATTTTTAATATTAACACAAAAATTTTTGACCTAACTATTGTTGTAAATATTTGTCAATTATGAATGTTTTTGTTTGACAATTAACTAAACTATGGTCTAATTTAATTGTCAGCTATGTTTTATAAATATGACTATGCTTTTATATGTAAGTGGTTAGGAAAATAATTTCCGTTTGCACTTATTGTTTAAATTGTGAAATTAATTGTGAAAATATTAAATAATTTTTTGGTTTTTCAAATGCATGATTAAAGATTAAAAGTGATGATTGTGAATAACATACAGAAAATAATACGATAGTAAGATTTGATTGAGTAACTAACTAAAAAAAAAGATTATCCTTAAAGGATACATTATCCGATTAAAGTATAATTTATTGCTAGTGGAATAAATTTAGAGTATTCGCTCTCACTGTGTTATAGGAAGGCGAAAAAAAACATATTTTTTTAAAATGATATTTAATTGGCTTACCAGATCAAATGTGTAATATAACGAACTACAATTTCAATTTAAATTTGTCATTATGTTATGAAAAGAAATGATAATGATAAATAACAGTGTTTGAATTTTGTGCAAAAAGTATTTATGGAATTTTTGTAAAAACGAAATTATTATTTAGCAACTAACCCTTTTGCTGTAATAAAAAATTTAAAGAAAAAATTCTAAAACATTTCATAAAAAAATAAATAAAAAAAGTTCCATTCATATATATTCAGTAATAAACATGTATTATATATTTTTGTGTGTACATTTTTTATAGCCAATTTTTATAAGTATTAAAAATATGCTAGGATGGGAATAGAAAAAAATTTCATACCGACTAACCTCAAACTTATTGCTATTTTGATTGAATTTTAGGAGAAAATTGTTCTTCAAAAATGAATTTTATGTGAGGATAATCATCACTAGATTAAAAAAAAACCTGAATCGAAATTTGTTCACTTGTAAAAATTACTGAAAATTTGCTACATTGGGCTGGTAGTGAACCAAATAAATAATAATACATCTCTGTATCAAAACTTGCCTAAAATACCTGCGATTCCAAATATATTTACCACCAAATCGTGTACAGTCCGTTTTCACTTTTTTCACAGTACTTTTTGGATAAATTTTTTAAGGCCAGACAAATTTTATTTATTTAAAAAAAAAATATTTATAAATCAAAGTTTTGATAAGGTGTTAATTGAATATTCTTTTAGTGGTGGCTCTTAAAATCACGCCCCTTTTGTTGGTGAGTGGCACGATAACTGTAAAACGAATCATCTGAAAGCAAAAACCATAACGATTTCCTATTCTGTACTACATTCGCTATAGCCGGAACTACAATGGCCGAATGAAACACCCACAAATTTATTATATTTGTACATAAATTTTAAATAATAATGAATATTTTTGGTTGTTGATCATAACGAACGATTTAAATCAATTTTTCCGATGGGATGGAATTAAAAACGAAGGGAACCATTTTCAATTTCAATTTGATCAGAGTTTCGCTGAGAAATATTATATATTCACACATATTTATCTATTGCTTATTTTTAATTACTGAAATTTATTTAATTAAAAGGTTTTTAAGACCACTCAGAAGTCGTTTTATCCGTTTAAACCGAGCGATCATCGAAGAAATATTATTTCAAACACGACCATTAAGGACGAAATTAGAAATAATATTCATAAACCTCACGCTGCCAGATAAAACGATATGTCTCCTCATCGCGGGTCTGTCGACTTTCGATTTGCAAAGAAAGTAAATGAAGACTGACTACAGAAATGATCCTGTGAAGTATAGTCTTAACTTTTCAACGCTCAATCGCAAATAGTTCAACGGAACTGCCAATAAATTGGTTGAGAATTAAAAGGCTAAGAAAATGTATCTAACGAAATGTTCGATGTAAAAGATATTTCAGCGCTAACGCAAGTAGCGATAAGGTAAATGAAATATCACAACAACAAATTACGCAGCAGGTTAGTGAAATATGCACATACCCACATACTTGTGTACACATGTACGAGGACAGAGAACTCAACCAGGTAAACGAATTTCTGCTCCAGCTGAGTAGAACATGCTCTGAGAAAACGCGTGTATTATTGAAAAGCAACTTAAAATTTATGGAAATATATTTATATACATATGTATGTATGTAAATATAAATTTATTTATTTTTTCTTCATCCATAATATTTCATTAATTAAACTGCTTTTCAGATTTGAAGAACTATTTCTTAGAGTTAATTTCAATTCAATAATTCTATAAGACTCAGGAATTTGTTGCATTAAACCTTTTACCTCGTTCGATATTTTTTTTGTTTTTTTAATTTTTTTTTTTTAGTTTTTTAATTTCAATTTTTCTTCACTTTCCTAACGTGCATAGTGCATATTTTAACAAGAGTATTGAATATTTCATGTCTAATGCTAGTTAAACATGTTCTTAAAAGGGTTCTTGCATACTTCCTTTTTTATAACGTGGCATGCATAAATGTTGTTACGAGGCATAAAAAATTGTAAAAATGTACATAGTAAGTATGATCCATAATCTGTTTATATTCTCACATTGTTTGTTGGTTAAGTGGAAAATTGCTAATAATATTAGTGTTGAAAGTAAGCGGCAATAGAAACAACAAAGCAAATAAGGTGGCAAACTCTAGGGGTAAGAAAATAGTAATAAAAAATAGCAACAACAACAAAGAAAACATATGTACATACAAACATAAATATGCATGACTTACATTCTTTGCTTGTTTTTCGAGTTTGTTGGCCTATTCCTGGAAGAGTGGCAATTGAAAATTGGGTAAATAAGCAGACTGTTTATTGATTTTACTTCCACACGTGCATGCAGCTAGCTCGTTAATGTTTTGACCGCAAGCAGCTAACAGCTGGGCGAAATTAAATGGACGAGTCTGAAACAGAATTTTAGATGGGCAGATGTAAAACATTTTTTAATAATGTAACCCAGAAAGTAGTTATGTGAAAGCAATAATTGGAATTAATTAAAATAAACTGGAATAACATAAATTAAGAAAAAAATAATTAAATAATAAAATATATAATAAAAAAAAACTCTAAAAAAACAAATTAACATAAACTAAAATAAAATAAATTAAAATAAAAAAATAATATATATTCAAATAAAAAAAAGAAGGCAATTTAAATAAAATATTAATATATATTTAATTAAAATAAATAATATAAAATAAAATATTATATAATATAATAAGGCAACGTGATATCAAATAAAATGAAATAAAAATAATATAAAATAATAAAAAAAATGAAATACAATAACTTAAAATAATGTACAGTAAAGCAAAATAAAATAAAGTAAAAAATATTAAATAACATTTATTAAAAAACACTCATATAAAATAAAATGAAATAAAATAAAATAAATAAATAATCTAAAATAAAATATACTTGAAATAATTAGACATAAAATAAAAATAAAAATACAAAAAAAGATAAAATAAAACCAAAAAAATAAAAGGAAATAAAATAAAATAAAGAAATTAAAAAAAAAATAAATTAAAATAAAATAAAAAAAAAAAAAAAAAAAAATAGTCGCAGGGGATNGAAATAAGACAGAAAAAAATACTAAAATAATAGGACAAAATATCATAAATTAAAAATAAAACAAAAATAATAAATTAAAATATAAAATGAAATAAAATAAAATAATAAACAAACATTAAAAACAAAATATAATAGAAAATAGAATCGAAAAAACTAAATTAAATAAAACGAAAAATTCAAAGTAAAATAAATGGGATCAAAATATATTAAAGGCTAAGTGAAGCCACTCTAGGATTTTGGCAAACGGATTTATTTTGCTCACAGGGTACCTTTGGGTTCTAGAAATCATATGTAATTGGTTTTAAAGTCAGAAAAAAACTTCATACAGTTGAACTTTTTATTTTGTTACAGCTCCTCAGAGATTGCACTGAGTACAATGAAAACTTTAAACGCGTTTTTCTCAAAAACTCTGTATCGGTTTATCTGACATTTTTAATGGTAAAACAAATACATTTTTTTTGGAAGTTCGTTGCCGCTTTTGGTTAAATGTAAACTATTTTCCAAATAATAGTATATTTTGATGTAAAAAAAAAATTAAATAAAATATTATATAATAAAAATAAAGTAATAAAAAGGAAAATAAAATAAAATTATGTAGACAAAAATAATATTAAATAAAAAACAATAATAAAACAAAGAAAAAATTATATTAAACTAAATAAATATACTAAAATTACCCAAAAATTTAAAATAAAATTTATTTAAATTAAACTAAAATCATAAGCAACTGTGCTCATATAAGACACTTAAATCGAGGGTTGTCAATATTATCTGCTCGTATATATGTATATATCCCACATTCCATTGCCAACACAGTACTCTCGCCTACTTAACTCAATATGCGGCTTAGGTTGTGGTCATCGATGACTCTATTTTTAATGGCAAATGTGCATGCAAGCTTGGCGATTTCGATAGCATTTTACTTTCCACAGCTCACATTTCGTGTTCATATGGCACACATACTCGTGCTTACTGTCTGTTGATTTTTAGCAGGAAATGCTCTAGTTATTGTTAGCTTTTCCATGCTTCGCTTGTAAAAAGAGTTGAAGCTACTTGTATTGTATATAATACCCGTATATGTACACAAATATGTATATATGCAGGTTTGCTAACATCGAGACAGTTATAAAATCACGTGCAATCATGTGTATTGGTCACGTGAGTGTGGCAAATAAAATGTTTGTACAAATGTATATATGCTGATCGGATTTTCTAACAAACTGTTATATATACATATATATGTATGTATATATATATTTGCTTTTATTTTCAAATGAACTTAAGTATACACTCCTGCAACTGTTAATGGAGTTTACTTTTCTAAGAAAAGTGCAACCATTACAGTACTTGCCGGCACTAATTTCGTTTCCATTATATTTACGTTATGATTTCCTCGCAAAAAATATAAAAGCTTATGCACATATTTATATACATACATGTGTATATGTGGTGATGTCTATCAGTACAATATGATTGCACTTATGTATGTGTTTGTATATAAATATAATTTAATCAAAAATCCATAAACCACTCTGATTCACTCGCTGCCCTTCCCGCCACGATTGATATAACAAGCTTTTCGCCGTTCCTGAAGAAGAATGAAAAAAAGAGGAAGAAGAAGAAGAAGAGGGAGAAATGAAGTAGGTCAAAGTGGCAAAGTAGCAAAGTGACCGAACACGTAAGACACGTGATAAAGTAACGAATGGCTGTGGCAGTACGTGAAGGGGGGAATTATGATAGAAATCGGGCAAAGTGTAAATGCAAGCGAAATGAAATTAAAAATAAAAAGATTAAAATTGTTAACAATACACAAGAGCGGTAAGTGTACGTAGCGTGTCGGAGGTAGTATGTCGAGTGTAAGTGCATGTGTGTGTGTGTGTGTGATTGACATTTTGAGAGGGCTCTACTTAGGCAAACTTATGCACGCAAGTCAAGTTTACTTCAAGGATTTTCACATATGACGGAAATGATGGACAAATATGATTATGAATGCACTTACGGTGGGTTTGCACATACATACGTATATATATGTGTAAGTATTTTCAACTAAAATTTTTCGTTGTGTGCTTACAGTACATTTATCAGCTTTTCGAAATTATTATTACAAATTTAATAAATTTTATGACTTATTGTCAGCAAATTGAATTTTAGATTTATGCTTTTCATGCGAAAAAGTGCTAATTGAATTTAGTTGTATAACAATAGATTAAGAATTACGCATTAAATTGTATATAAAATTCATAAAATAGCAGAAATTACTATATGCACATACATAATATTTAGGAGCTGACAGTGGTAAGGTGGAATAGAGAAAAAATATTTTTGTATTATTTATGCCCTCACAAATATATATATTCTTTAATTTATTTTTTATATATATCTTCTTTTTTCAATTATAAAAGCGAGTTATAAATAAGAAATATTATACTATTTGTTTTTTCTTCTTTTTCTACTTCTCATGCAAACATGGGAGGTAATGCAAAATCAAACTTTCAAATTAAAGAATCCATACCAAGTAAAAGTGATAATTTTTTTTATAAAAATGTAAATATATAATATTATTTTTCATTTCATACTAGTTAAAAATATTAAACTAATTCTTGTTTATTAAATCAAAGAAATAGAGAAAATTTTGATTTTTTTGATTTATTAATATTTATTTATTTATTATTTTTATATAATATTTATTTATAAGTACAAAGTATTTTTTTCATAAAAATTATTTATTGGTAAACAAAAAAATAACATGTAACCATACCTACATATGTATGCGAATACAAATAATCTTTTATTTATAATTATCTCTGTTGCTAATGAGGCATCGATCTCCACAATTGATCGATCACAGCAGCATTTAGGTACGTTGTTTGCCAGGCAATTGCACATGTCCCATATTGTCTAGTGGTTAGGATATCCGGCTCTCACCCGGAAGGCCCGGGTTCGATTCCCGGTATGGGAAACTTTTTTGCTGCTAATCTTTTATAATTTTTTTTAAATATTTTTTTCTACATTATTTTACTTCTCAATAATTATTTTTTGTATTTATTATTTTAAATTATTTTAAACCATATTAAAAGTAGTAGAATATCAGTGTTTATAATCATAGTGAAAATTCATTAGAATTCAAATTTTTTTCTTATGTCTAAATTTTTTTCTCTTAATTTTAACTAAAATAATTTTTTTTAATAATTTTTTTACTATTTTCCATGTTATTACTTAATTATGT